AATGCTGCTAAAGAAGGCAGCAAAAACCTTGAGAAATTTACCTTTGGTTTGCCTCAGAAAAGTAACACGTATTGCACTGTATAAGTTTATAAAATTGGTGCAACAAAACATTGTTGTAATGTTTCAATGCCAGCTTACAAAGTTCAACAACTAATGGATAAGGAAGGGTCTGGAAGGGTGCCTATGTACACATGAGGACCTGTAAAAGCTATCTGATTTAGTTAATATTGCATGTAGATTGTAAATCTACACAAACCAAGATTCAGATCATTTCTTCAATCTGAATTAACACTATCTGCTCACTTCATCAGCTGAGGTCAACAAGGAAACTGGGGCTACTAGCTTTATGTTTTTCTGATTTGCACAAAATAAAAATTAAGCTTCTTCCCCAGCTTTTCAGTCCAGAAGTGACAGTATGCTACAGGCAAGGTGTTCCTTCCATTATCAACATTCATAGGATGACATGCAGTGAGGTCTACTTGGGTTTCAGTTATTATCAGCACTCATATGCAAAATAGTCTCCAAAGTTGACCACGTGACTCTAGAGAGACTCTAAAAAATAAAATGGCCCTTCTTAGAAGACTTGAACAAAACATCCAGCCATAGTTATAAGAAGCCTTATTTTTTAAAAAATGCAGCTCCTTGTGAATTACACCTCAATTTAAAAAGCAGCCTCAAAATAAGAAGCAGCTCTGGAAAAAACGTGGAACAAATATAACTCAAAACATCTTGAAAACCAATGTGAATACAGGTTTCAACAGATAGTTAAGAGATTCATTTACATAAGTCTACCTAGGATTAAGGCTTATAATGTATTCTAATAGTTCAAGTTTATCACTAGTTACTAAACATGAATTTACAAATAAATTTTTGTTACTTTACCAAAAGGGAAAATTCTATCTTCCATTCTATCCAGTGTGGGGAGGGAGAGACCACAAAATGAAAAGATCCAAACAGTTCCATGCAAATATCACATTTTTTAAATGGAAGAACTTCCAACTGGACCAGAAGTTCATACTGCTAATATACTTTTCATTGAAACAATTTTAACAAGTACAAACACGTGGCATTAGGGTTCAGAACCTAATATAGGCCTGACAATCAAGTCCTTATTTTCTGTAAGAAAGGCCTCAAGTCCCAGTCAATTTCCAGCAACAGTGTTTTTGTAGATCAATTTAATAATAAGGGATTTTTACTTCCTTCCTATTCTTGTTTTTAGCATTCTAGTCTTAACAAGTTTATTTCTTAGTTTAATTCTCCACAGAAGGCAAATGATTTTTCTTTTGCAGTATGAAAGAATCCACAAAAACCTCTTCCCCAAACTGATTCCAAATATCCAATCTCTGCTTAAGATGCATCTTTTCTATATAATGTAAACGGTAACTCAGGTAAAATGTATCCATGAACATTAAACTAGTTGTTAGAAAAGACTTAACTAGCTTTATAATTTAAGTTTTAAAACATAAATATTTGCAGCTTGATCTTCTGTTGACAATGATTGTCAGAGCCTAGAATTCAACACTTACATATTCCCATGCATGCACACAGAACACACACCATTATCACACAACTTACTCCTCATGTCTTGAGAGAATCTTCTGTTTCTTTAAATCTTTGGCCTCCCAGTCAATTCCAAGTTCAAACAACTTTTAACTCAAACTCCACTCTCAGATTTTAAACAAATTTTCTACCCACACATCATTAATGCTTTTCCGAATCTTTCATGTTGTACTGCCAAAATCTGAAACCTGCCTCAAAGAGGTCACCAGGTAAAAAAAAAAGTGAATTATAAAGTTGTTATTTCAAAATAGAACATGGGAGGTCAGAATTCAAGATTCCCTACTGGGATCATACTTTATTTTACTGCAATGAATGACTGCTCTCAGTAAAAAGAAATCCTATGCTGGATTCTTTCATACTCTGGCGCGTGGCCAAAGAACCTACCGGAAAGTTTTGGAGTACATGCCCTTTTTCCTACAAAGTGCCCCCACAGGAACACCAGAATAGCTGCAATTTACCGGAGACCTCACCTGCAGAAAGAGGCTGTCATAGGGACAGCCAGGACACCCACTAGCGTGTGGAGATCCCTGAGAAAGTATGAGTTTTTTTAGAAATCTGGCCCGCACTTCAGTTTCCCCAGCCTGCCATGTAAGGAAGCTGCAGCTGGTCTCCAGCGTTCATGCTGCCTCTCTTATCCCAGGTCTGCCTTGTCATAGCTATGGCTTTGGAATCTCTCCCAAGTGATATTCTGTAAAACCTGAAGCAATAATTGTCTTAATCCCACTTTTGCAGTTTCCAATATCACTTACAGTTCTTTATTCAGTTAAGTAGCCATATGGACACCGACTATCTATGAGAAAAGGTTTTCCTCAAAGATGTGATTTAACACTCTAAGATTAGGAATTAGCGGCACTAAAACATGCAAAAAAGAATAATAAAAACTGATGGTTGGCATTTGAGATAAAGATTTGTTCAATAAGGAACCTAGTGGTTTATGTATTGCGAAATCAAAACCGACCTATGAATTTACTACAATCCGTTCAGAATAAATAACATATGAAATACAGATTCTGGCATAGATATAAGATGTAAAAATTAAAATCAATGGATTGAACCTGCAGGTTTCATTTGCTCACATACTGGTACAAACTATTATTCTGGGGAAAAAAAATGCAGCAAAGAAAAAGAAAACTGCCCTTCTGCAAACAAGCCTAAAAGCATCCCTCCAAAGAGGCCAAAATAAACATGCATATATATGTATAAAGTGTTATGTTCAACACAAATGCTATTTCTAGAAAAAATTTAACTGCATAGGTAAAAAACAAAAACTCAAAAACAATGTGCAACATCTCAAGCCATTAAAGCACCAAAATAAAAAAAGAAACACACACCAAAATCACTTTTTATGATGATTAACAGACACAAATAAAAAATATTGATCAAAACTCAGAAAGTAAATACCTGGACTGATAGAATGTCCACTGTTGGGAGAATTTTTTTTTCAAATTTTAACTGTCTTCTCATCACTAAAGAAAATCTTAAAGTGCTAACTTTATATAAAGCAGGCAAATTCTTCAAGTAATTTGCTATTAAGTCAGCCAATTTTTTATACAGCTAAACAAGGAACTAAGAATAAAACTAAAGAAAAACAGGAAGATAGACGTGGAGAAAAAGCTGACAAAGCAATAACATGCTATCATACCGTCTCGGCCTTCTCATTTTAAACACACACACAAGCTAGCAGACGTAGGTGTCTGCTGGTTTAGTACACGAGCTCCCTTGGACTTGCTAGAATGTATACAACAATCAACAGGTGCACATGGTTCCTCAGGAAAAGAATGCCACTTAAAATCAACACTGGATACTAATTAAAGCAATCTTAAACGGCTGTCTCCTACTGTCAATGAATATAATGTGTAATGGACCTTCCAAACTACAAACTGAATGTTGGTCCCAAGTCGTCTTACTCCTGCCCTTGAGCGGCTTCTTCAAGGAAGTACACATTGACCAGATGGCGATTGAGGTGTTTCCTGTAATCTTTTCCCTTTCTGAAGGAGCGATCACAGAAGATGCAGACAAAGTCTCCCTCGGCCACCCTGACTGCCAGGGCTGCCTTGGCAGGCTTTCTACCGGATTCTTGCGGGCCTGGCCGCGCCCCATGCAAGCCCGAGTCATCACTGCCCTCCGACATGTTGTCGCTCAGGTCGCTTCCATCGTGGCTGTGGATGCCCTCGTCTTCGTCAATTTCCTGAGCCTCGCTCGCTGCCACGGTCACGGGAGGCGAGGCCGCAGCGGTCTCGGACACCGCTTCCCGCTCTCCCAGCCGCGGGGCTCCAGGAAGCAGCGGCGGCGCTGAGGCTTCGGCGGCGGGGCCCTCCCCAGGGAGAGGCTCCTCCGTGTTCCGGTCGGCGTCCGCTTCCATTTCACACACCACGGCGCCGGGCTGCCTCTCAGCAGCCGCACTCCCGCCCCGTCCCGAGGGGGAAGCGCGGGCAGGGGCCTCGGCGGGCGCGGCGGCAGCGGCGGGGCTCGCGCCTGCCTCTTCTCCGGCTGCAGGAGCGGGGGCTTCTGCATCTGCTTCGCCCGCGGGGCGCGGCGCCCGGTCTGCGGACGCGGCTTCTTGCAGGCTTTCCCGGGGCGGCGGCGGCGGCGGCGGCGGGGCCCGGTCCGGCGAGCCCGCCCTCTCCTGGCCAGGCCGGCCGTCGCTCACGGGCACCAGGCCCACCTCGATGAGCACCTGCTCCTTCCGCGCGCGTTCGCG